ACCAACATATTTGGGCCAATTTATCTGCCTTATTTCCTGGGGATGCCAGTGGCAAATTACCTGTCACATGGTATACTGTAATTATTTTAGTCTGACTGCAGGCCCATAAGTCTTGCCATAATTCTTGCCCCCAAAGGGGTCAGTGACCAACCAGCCACTTGGCATGGTACCAGGTTAATAGCCACAGGGTCAAGCCCCGAGACAGCCCAGCTGTCAGTGCAGACAACTATAGGGGAGGGCTACTGGCTGATCACAAGCCACACAGACCGCAACTCTGCCCATTGACTGCTCTTCCCCTAACCATCTTCCATCCATATTGTCTCAGTCTTAGGATGGAAAGCTATGGCCCTCCATTTTGGGGGCTGCCCACGGCTGGAGCCATCTGTGTACCATGCATCTTCGGTCTTAGGGGCTCTTCCCTCCCAATAGGGACTCTCTGCTACTAATGGTTCAAAAGCAAGTTCTTCCTGTTTTTCACTACTATATGTCACTGGCCCCAACAAGAACTGGAGGTCTTCACTCAAGGGGCTGCTAGAGAGAGCACTATACTGCTATAGGTAAGCACCCCACTTGGCTAGTGTGGGTGTTTGTGCCACACCACTCCTTGGCTTTTGGGTCATCTCATACCCACCCCAAGATGGGATAGGTGGTTATTACCTTTATCGGGGCCATTCCAGTGATGGGTTCTATAGCCAGTAAGATGTGATACACAGCAGTCAGTTGTTTTTCTATCAAAGTGTATCATACCTCTGCCCCTTTCCAGAGTTGTGACCAGAACCCAACAGGTTGGCGAGTTCGTTCAAGCCATTGCCAGAGACCCCAGCCATAACCATCTTCAATGACATGAACATTCAGCTCACAGGGCCTTGATGGGTCTATCACACTCAAGGCCTACATGGCCTTGACTGCCCATTTTGCTGTAGTAAAGGCAGATGCACATGTCTCATCCCAGTCCCACCTGACGCCCTTTCATACCAACCAGTGTAAGGGCTTCAGAATTTGTGCCAAGTGTGGTATAAACACTCTCCAGTAGCCTAGAAGACCCAGAAACTCCTGCAGCGATGCTACAGTTGTGGGGGTAGGAAAGGCCTGGACTTTGTCTATAACTGCTGCTGGTATGACTTTAGTCTTACCTGGACAGATGACCCCCAAGAATTTAACAGACAAACCAGGTCCATGAACCTTGGTGCTGTTCACAGCCCATCCTTTCTTCTGTAAATGTTGCAGCAGTCTAGGTGCTGTACCTTCTAGATCTGAAAGAGAATCGGATGTGAGCATGACATCATCAATATAATGGTACAGCTGCCCTGTTGGTGGTTTCTCCCATGTAGCCATGTCCTGGGCTACAAGTCCATGACAGATGGTGGGGCTATGGAAGTATCCCTGTGGGAGGATGGTCAAAGTCCATTGCCATCCTTCCCACGTGAAGGTAAACTGTGCCTGACTTTCCTGCTCAATGTCAATGGAAAAGGCATTAGCAAGATCTACCACATAATGGTATGTTCCTAGTTCATGGCTGAGGGTATCCATTAGGCCTGCAATAGAGGGGACAGCAGCATGCATAGGGGGTATGACTTTATTCAGTTCTCTGTAATACACAGTCATATGCCAGGAGCCATCTGACTTTTTTACAGGCCACACTGGGGAATTGAAAGGACTATGGGTGAGCTTTATAATACCCACCTTTTCCAGCTCATGGAGAGTTTCTCCAATCTCTTTATGCCCTCCAGGCAGTTTGTACTGTGTTATTAGTCACCCGCTGAGGCACAGGCAAAGCTATGGGCAGGTGCCTAGCATGTCTCCTCAGGACTGCCTTCACCACACGTACTCTCAGTCTGAACTCACCTGCAGTGGTCTGCAACCATAGACCCTGCAGGATATTAATCCCCAAAATATACTCAGGAATAGGAGATATATACACAGTATACTCTTTTGGGGGTAGACACCTTATTCCTGAAGAGATTTGGGCTTTTTTTTTTTTTTTTAACTCTGATAGCCTTCCCCCCTTATCCATCTATGATAGTGGGGGTCCCAGGGAACCACTCAGGGTTACCATGAATCAGTGAACATTCAGCCCTTGTGTCCACCAGAGCCAGGACATGTTGTATGTTCACTGGGGACCAATGGATAGCTGTTTCAACATGTGGCCTCTGGTCTCCCCATGGTCTCTCAGGGCAGATGCCTTGACCTTTCCCTCAAACCATGTTCCCCAATCACCTTCCTGTGTGGGCTCAAGTGAGGTTGGTTCGTTCCCAGCAGGAATTCTTGCAAACACACAGGCTGGACTCATGGCTTTGTCTCTGACCTCTGCCTCTTTGGTCTTAATGGGTGGAACTGCTGCTCTGGTTTCAGCTGTTGCCATAGCTCTAGTAAGATCCTATTTGACTTCCCATCTAATTTACTTCCATCTGCTCCTGCCCGTATTGAATCAACCCACATCTGGGTCCTCGTAACCTTCATAGGGCCCTGTAAATTCTTGTGAGTAACAGGTCTTATTTCTTTCCGGATTCTCATTGCTTCTGCCTCTCCTAAGTCTGCTACTGTATGTGTCACCTCGCTTATGGGCTTCCCTAAGTGAGGGGAGAGATTGGCCACTTGAGACCCAAAGAGGGATGTAGGAGCCATTAGAAGTACAAAATTTCTCATCCCAGTAGTGAAAATCTCTTCATCTGGATTATAATTCTCTGGACTATAGATGTCATTTCTTATGCCTAGCTCTTGCAGCACCTGTTGGAGTTCAGCATATGTTGGCCATCTAACAGGAGAGGATGGCAGATCACCTGGATTGGGTCACACAGCAAGAAGTGCCCATAAGCCAATCGAGGAGGGAGTGACTCCCTGGGGTCTGGTGTGCATTTTGTAATCGCTGCCTCAAGGCAGGCTGTAGTGTCAGGGAAGACAGCTTCCCATCTCTGATCCCGACAGAACAATTCCATCCACCCCTAAGTCCCACAGACGCAGGAGCTAAGTTGATATTGATTCCGAAGGCAGGGGCCAAGCTGATATTGACTCTGAAGGCTTCTGCCTAAACCGGGAGCCCAAATCCACTAGCTCAGCTTGAGTATAGGGGCAGACCATAGAGTGCTCCAGGACCTGGGGAGGGGGCTGCTCCTCTCCTTGGGGAACTTTCAGCTGCTGGGTCTTTCTTTACAACCACTGGGCATGCTTTCAGTACAGGAGGCATCAGTGCCTCTGGCACCACCCCTTCATCCTTCTCCAGCTCCTCCATTTCTGGGGCTGATGGCACCTTTTTTTCCCCTCCCCCGAGTGCCTTCTCTGCTACAACCTTTACCTTTTCTACTGTGCCTCGCAGCAATGCTACCTCAGTCTTTAGAAGGTCTCTTACCTTCAGCTCAATGCTTCGCAGCTGATGTTCTCGTTCCACCTCCGCCTGTGCTTCCCTCAGGAGTTCGTCTTTTTCCTTGATGGCCTCTTCCTCCTTCAGAACACCTGGCAGCGCTGCCGTCTTGTCTCCAATGGCACCTTGCTGCCAGCGCTCTCGTGCTGCCTCCCACATCAAGGCCATCTCCTTCCTCAGGGAATCCACAGAGGTTTGCAGCTCGTGTTCTCGTGCCACCTCCTCCCTTATCAATACCATTTCACTCCTCAGGGCATCCACAGAAGTCTGCAGCTCGCTTTCTCATGCCACCTCTTGCATCAATGCCATTTCCCTCCTCAGGGAATCTACTGAAGTTTGCAGCTCGTGTTCTTGCACTGCCATTTCTTGGGTCTCCTCTGTAGACCTTTTTGAGACTGTGGGAAACAGCCAACCCCCAGTCCCTGCTGCCTCCCGGTCACTCTGCTTCTCAAAGGATCTGCTTACTATATCAAGAGCCACCCCTACTGCCTCAAGGTGTCACCTCCACTTGCCTTCAGTCCTGGGGTGGGGCCCTGTCCTCTAGGAGCCAAGCCACCTCAGACCACATATCCATTGGGGGACAATCCACTGTTTCCCCATTCACAGGGGCAGCCCGCTGAAGTACCCCTCCCATAGGGGCAGCCTGTGTTTTTCCTTAGTCAACTGTGAACCCTGCCGACTTTCGCCAATTGTCTTGCCAATGGGTTTCAGCCCCAGGCAAGTTCACTATGGATTCAGTGTGACCAAAGAAAATGACAGAAAAATGTTCTTTGGGGTGAAAGGGTTTATTACCTGGCTTGTTCTCTCGTGGTACGTCAAGCACTAGCGGTGCTGCCTCCGCCCAGAGGACTGGGCCGAGCTCTCTATATAGCGCAATAATAGCTTATTGCCTAAAGGTGTGGAAGCGGCAGCCTAGCAACAGGCCAGTTACATCAACAGGTGGTTTAAGTTCAGTGAGGATCCTGGCCATAGGAACCCCAACTTCCACACACTTGGTTTGGGAGCATATCAATCAAGGCTGCCTGTCTTGCTCTAAAGATGGGCTGAGTTATTTATTGTCTGTTAAATAGTAAGTTAAGAATCTTCTTAACTTCTTGGGTGTTAAAATGCAATCTTATCTTTAAGGTGGAATCCTTCCTGCCTGTGGATAAAATGAGATTTCCTGTGGCCAGGATTCTCACCTGGCTCTGGCTGACTAGCTCACTGCACACCTGTCAGCAATACATGGCGGTTGAGTTTATACAAAGAGCTCTGCCCAGTGCTCTGGGTGTGACACGGTGGCAGGGCTGCAAGGCAGCAGGAGAGCAGTGCAGAGGCCGGAGTGGTGGCAGTGCCCAAGACAGAGGCCCAGAGGACAGCTGTGTGGGACAGCTGTGTGGGACAGCTGTGTGTGATGGCTGTGCAGGCATAGAGGCCCAGAGGCAGAGATCTGCTTGCTGCATGCAGACTCACTGAGTGAATGGGATTCTAGTGACTGACCTGCCACCTGGAAATAAAGCTGGGTATAACCATTACACCCCAAGAACGTTTTGCTGTCAACTTCTTTGGTCACATTGAATCCATAGTGAGCTTGCCCAGGGCTGAAACCCATTGGCAAGACCCTGCCCTTCACTATGTTGTTTACGGCTGGGCCTGCCTGCTATATTAATTGCCCAGGTTATATATTACTTGATTAGGGCTGGAGGAGGAAAAGCAGCATCTGGGCAAAGTTAAAGAAGATAAGCGGGGCCTTTTGGCAGGCTAAAGTAAAATTTACAATAGCCTCATTTAATTGACACAACGCAGACATGGGCTATGCTGAGGTACTTTCTTATCTGGGGGATGTTCAAACATTCCAGGCCAGATTATTCCTGGCTTTAGTTTTAACTAATCTTCACTGAAGAATGCTTATTATTCCTAGTTTGATATTTTTACTTTAGAGAATTAATGTGACTCTGACTTTGCTTAATTGTTTAGTACGGAGTTTTGGTAGGGGTCTTTTTCTAGAAGCCCTCACCCTACCCTGACTACACCAATGGTCCCTGTTTCAGCCCCTGCCATAAAACAATTGATAAAATCCCCTCCGCGATTAGGCGCGGCCGCAGTCCGAGGCGGGGACGCGCACCCAGCGCATGCGCGCTCCCCTCGTCCGGCCTCCTGCGCCCGCTCACAGGGTGGAGGGAGCGCGCCCGGAGAGAACGCGCCCCAGCCATCGGTTAACTGCTCCAGGTGGAAACTGACGCTGGCGGCGGCGGGGTTCCGCGGGCGGGAAGGCGGTGCGCCGTCCGCTCTTCCCCACCCCCTGCCTCGGCCCTGACGGGGCTGGATGGGCAAGTTGGCCGCGATGGTTCGAGCTCGGGCGGCGGCCGGAGGCGGCGGCGCCTCCTCCTCGCCCCTGCGCCGGCGGTGATCGCAGCGAGCGGCCGCGGCCCCCTGTTGGAGGGCTGGCTGTGCCTGAGCCTGGCGTCCGTGTGGCTGGCGCGGAGGATGTGGACGCTGCGGAGCCCGCTCACCCGCTCCCGATACGTGGATATGACCAGCGGTCCGGGCGGCAGGAAGGAGAACCACCAGGTATGGTCGGGCCGACGGGCGGGGGCGGGGGCGGGGGCGTGGCGGCCCGTCTTCCCTTGCTCGGCCCGGCTATCGTGCGGGGCGTTGCGGCGAGAGCGCCCCAGGGCCCTCTCCCCGTCCCCCGGCCCCTCAAAGTTTTCCCTGCGTCTCCCCCGCCCGATGCCGGCCCGAGACCCCTGGCGCCCAGCCCGGGCCCCGCGGCGCCTTTTGTTCCCGACGCGGGCAGAGAACGGTCTCCCCTTCCCCCTCCCCGGGCCCGAGCGTGGGCGCCCCGGAGCTCCGCATTGTTCCCGGGTCCTAGGCCGTGACTGCAGACGCTTGGCCACCTCGGCGTCGGCTCCCAACAGCAGGACGGAGGAACTTCGGGGCCGGCGCGTGGCGACAGGTACCCTTCTGGCACCGCGGCCTGAGATAAACTAGACCAAACGCGTTACCCAGACAACATTCGTCACTCCCCCACTCCCTCCCCCGAGAAAAAGAGGAGAGCCCTTCCCTCTTTTTGTTTGGTTGTATCTATGAACATACAAAGGGTCATAAAGAAATTTAATCGTGTGTCGTGAGCCATGTAACTCAGGGCTTACTCTGGTGACATTTTCCCTAGGCACTTAAAAAATGTTTGACAGGTCCTCACTCCCGTCTTACCGAAGCTTCCCCTCCTGCGTAAGAGAAGTCTCTAAACTTTGGTGTTCGTATCTGGCCAGAAAGATGTGATAAGAAGGCAGATGATGCAAGCTTTTACTGGAAGGGTTTTTGAAACATAATTGGGCAGAAGTGAATTCTTTTAGGAGTTGTATAGTTGTGAATCACGAGCGACGTGATGTGACCGGTTTAAGTAGTCTTTTCGTGAGCTTAGTTTTGTATCACTGAAAGGAGTGGGTGTAGGTTAGCTGTAGAATGAAGAGGAAGGTATTTCATATTTGATCATAATGAAGCTTGCAGTTAATACTACATTCATTGAGGCTTTCAAATCATCCAGAGGCTTTTGAACTCTGCTAACTGTTGGCTTATAATAGTTAGCATTTATAATACATTTTGTCTCTCCAGAGGGTAGGAGCTAATTACCCCTCTTGTTTCTCATCATTTGCACATTTCTCATTTTCCTATGTTACACTTTTTCATTATGCCAGGTGTTTTACACCAGGTTGATTCCATATGTTTTAATGAATAACTACATAAGGAGATAAAACAGTTCATTCAGAAAAGTAGCATTTAGTTTTTATTTAGCAAATATATATACTGGCCCTTTTACTCCTTTTAAAGTAAATCATAAGTTTCCATAAGTTTTTGTGTAGTTCCACAGCTGTTGCAATTTGTTAGGTAGTCAGTCGCTCCTAGGATATTAGGCATGTTCATAAAGTTGGTCGGAGATCTGAAGTTGTAAAACCACATTCTTTGCTATGGATTAATAATTTACACTAATCAGTTATTCTTAGAGAAACAACTTTAAAGTACTGTAGCGATAATGTACATTTACCAAAATGTTACATATCCCTATGGAATGGGGATGATGATGTAGAACAGTGAATTCGAAATAATCAGTTTCAACAGTTGGTAGAGATAAGCTTTTGGATAGGATAAAAAGGTTTACTTCCACTGACATGGAATTACAGCTTGAGTCTCCTAGCTGTAGGTGTTTATTATAACACTTGTGATTTTAAAGTTGAAAACCTGTTTAAGAAATTTGGTTTTTATGGCGCCTATGTAGAATTATAGCGAGTTTGGCTCTTTTCCTTTGAATAATCATCCAGACATTTTGAGATGATAGAATTATGAAAATATTGTCCATGAAGAAATATTAAAGTGAACAAAAGCAGTGTTTGCATAGGAACCACAGTGAGATAAAGTGAATGAGACTGTCCTCTCTGTCAAGTGGCTGAGTTGATGATTTGTTAATCTGCTTTATATTCCAGGATCCTGGGTTTGCCTGATAAACTGTGTTGCTTGTGAAAGAACTTATTTTTGCCTCCTTCAAATTCATAGTTTTATATACAGTCTTCTGGTATTCATTTTGGTGTGTGGGTTCCATAACCAGCCACATCTGGTTCCTTAGGAGTTGCATGAAACTAGGGTTATAGACTTGATTGAACCATACTTAGCACAAGTTTTCATTACAGTTATTTTATTAAGAAATGATGGTGGAAGATTCTGTGGTTAAAAGAGATCTTGGGCAATGTTTATTCACTAAAAATTCCTATTTAGTTACTATGGCCTGGCGATGCAAGGCTTTTTTTTGAGCTAAAGCAGCTCTGAAACTATAGTAGTAATGTCATTTAAATAATTTGGTTTGATGAGCTAGTTTGAAAACTGGGACTATATTTCAGTTTGGGCAAGCAGGAAGCAAGAAGGGCCACTCTTAGAGCAGGGATCTATTTTGGGGGCCACATTGGGTACTCTGACTTTTTTATAGCCTGGGAATTAAGAATAGTTTTACATTTTTAAATGGTTGCCAAAAATATATTGTATTTTATAATGTGAAAACTTCTTTTAGGAAATTTCAGTGTCCACAGAGAAAGTTTTATTGGAACAGAGCCACCACAATTTACCTATTGTCTGTGGGTGCTTCCAGGCTACAATGGCAGAGTTGCATAATTGCTACTTTATGACCTGCTAAGCCTAAAATATTTATTATGTGGCCCTTTACAGAAAAGGGTTTTCCCCACAGAGATTTTCAGCTTCCTTAATCCACAGCACATTCTTAATCCATGTTGCAAAGTGTGGGTAATTGGCTCATTGGGAAGAAATAAGGCCAGGAAGTGAGAAAATAGATGTCACTTTTTAAAGGAAAACAACAGAAACTTTGAATCTAGTATTTTCAATACATTGCACCTGGTACTTAAAGTCAAAATGGACCATTGTAGAGCTATTGGAACGTGAAAGGACTTTTAGGCCCCACTAACTGGTTCTTGATAATAACAGTCATTCAACAGCTTCTCAATTGATGATATGAAAAAAGAATTGTTACAGAACTCCTTGGAACCTTGCCAGCACAATTTCTCCAGGTGATTCTGCAAGGTTTTTTAAAAGCACAGATAAGATTCAACACCTGAAATTAGTAAGTGTAACTTACAATTTCAGTATCTGACATTCTTTTACCTTCTTATGTAAGCTCAGAACTGTGCTATGCCACAAGTGAAGTGGATTTAAGATGTAATTGAGAAGATATGTTTTTTTTTCCCCCAACCAAATGAAAAAATACTTGGACATCTCAGCCAGAGGTCAGAGGTCATGCTAAAGGACACATTTGGTCTCCTGTTCCGTCATTCCCCATTCACCTTGTGGAGGTGAACTTGCATGAGTTAACAGTGCTCAGGGTGAGTCCGCCACCTAGGCAGATGGACACTGATGGATTCGTGTCCTCCTCTGAACTGAGTCTGCCTTCCTGAGTCTGGAGGCCTTTGCAGCTGAATAACAAAGAGATTTTGAAAGGGTTTCTTTCCTTCCTTATGACCTGTGTTGAAACCCTAAACAAGTGTTTGCTTCAGTTTCATGGAACACTAGAATCTCTCTCTTTGGCTGGATATACCACAGGCCTTTATGTTTCCCTTTGAAGTTGCCCTAGGGAACCCTGGTAACTTCCAGTAAAAGACTGTTATTTAGAATCTTTGTTAAAACTTTAGGATTATAAAATACTAGTGGTGAGTATTTAAAATGAAGTTTGCCAATAATTTATTAAATCATAGTGGATCTCACATAAAGAGGTTGTTGGTTTATGCTTATATTATTTGTAGAAAAATAATGGTTTGAATATTTTCTGTACTGTGGTTAGATGCAAGAAGGTGTTAAGGATTAAGTCTGTGGACTTGTCAGGAGCTGCATCCGGGGAGGTCTCTCCCTGTGCATTAGGTGAAACCTCAACCTGGACAGGGAAAGTTCTGGACTTTGAATGAGAAGGAATTCTCAAACAGGTCAGACAAGTGTAGGTTAGGAAGGAATTCATTAAAGCGAGAGTAGTGGTGAATGCAGCAGCCGTGCAGGCAGCAGAGAGCTTCCTTGAGCAAAGGGAGTAAAGGTAAGCTTATTGAACTCCTTTTCAGCATAGTGCAGATCCCTTGCCAACTCCTAAAGCCAGGGTCATCTGGCATCCAGGGTGACACTTGAATCTGATGGCATGTGAAGTGAGCCCCTACCACTCCAGGATTTGGAGGAGCCGTAGAGCACTGGATGGAGTGAGATTATGTTCTGAGAACTTGCCAAAGGAAAAGAAAGACTTTCATGCAGGTTACTAAAGAGCATGAATGTACAGGTGCAATCCTGTCTCGGTCACCCAGGTGATGGGAACTTGCAGGCCCACATCAGAGATCTCAGTAGCCCTTCTCTACTTGTATGAAGTAGAACAGAGTAATAGATTAGTGTATAAGTCTACAAAATAGAATGAAACAGTGAAGTAACAAAGACACTTACCACTGGAAGAGTACAGAGACAAAATGTAAAAAGTTAAGACCTGAGAAGGCCTTATTTAAGGCAAAAAGTACGCATTTGAAGAAAGGGGCAACCTCAGAGAGTAGTCGCACTTAAAAGCTGGGATTCTTTTAAGGCTTTCAGGAATGGGTCAAAGGGCGGTGGGAGGGTAGTGGGCCGGGGGTGTAGGCTTGACGTATGGTCTCATGATGTCTCTCTCAGGTAAGAGACATTGTGTCATCATCCACAGTCAGTCCTCTAGATATTCTGTAAGATGAACTTAACACAAGGAATTCTTAGGCCTGTTCTTCTCCAGGATAGTGGTTGCCCTCATGCAGTAAGGACATGTCATTTAGGACTGCTTGCCCTGCCTTAAGATAGGGTTGGTTATTGGCTCGTTCCCATAAAGTATGTTAGGAATCTTGCCTCCTAACTCCCTTCCTTTTTAAAAATGGGATCTTAGCCTTAAGATGGAGTCCCTCCTGTTCTTACTATACTATTTATATCACAGCATTTTTAATCGTAGGCAGGAAAAGTTAATCATCATGCCTGTCCTATATCCCTGCCCTACTTCCGACTGATCAAATTGCATGGCAGAACTTAGAATGGAATTTTTGAATCCTTAGCTGTCAAGATCAGTGTTTGGTCTCACCACCCTCTATAGTAGAAAAGATTCCGTGTTCATGGACCCCATCACTGGAGCCTTTCTGATTGTTCTGAGTGGTCCTAAATGCCACAGGTCTTTGGTTTACATATTTCTTTTGAGATGGCCAGGTGCTCAGACCTACAGCGTGGTTATTTAGGTATTCCCTTGAACTTCATTTCTCTGTCCTTTGTGGATCTTGGATGGCAAGGGGAAGGAAATCAAGTTAACGGTGTTTCCACTGTGTCCAGGCACTTGAAATATATTATCCCCTTTAATCCTCCTGACAACTCTTGGAGGTAGGTGGTACATCCCATTTTACAGATAAAAGATTGAGGGTAAGA